ATACTATGGGCACTGGGTTCGAGCCTCAGTGAGAACATCATCATTCACGACGGAGTGAAGGTACATCCGGTTGATGAGTCCCAACTAGGACGAAATGCGCATCCTTGATTCCACTGCCAGTAGTCAGCATCCACCAATTAACTTCTAATTACTTGCACAAACATCGTCGAAGCATCTGCCAACATATCAACCTGAGAGCAAGCACTTCAGTCCAATCAATCGACGGGAAAATTCAAAATTGAATTAAATAACATTTTTTTTAAATATTTAATAATAATTTGCTTTATTCCAGAAACAGTGCTAGTGGTACAGTGTGGAATTTTCAGCACATATCTACAGTATTTGCATCTAATTTTACAGACATTTAAAATAAGTATTAAACAAACAAAAAAATAAATCTGAAGACACCAACAGTAAAAAAAAACAGGATAAACACAAAATAATTATAAATGCAAAAAAGTACAAAAGTCCACCAAAGTATAATGCAGTGTTTGTGGTGGTAGTGTGAGTAATCCTGAATAATACAAAAATTTTTAAGGTTGTGACTATGGCGTTCACAACCAATGATTGTCAGTTTAATATTGCCGAAAAGTATAGAAAATAAGAAAAAAAAGCCACGAAACTAATATTACATGATGGTTAATGACAGGACAATTTTGTAATACTCATAGTGCTAATAGAGTCGGAACCAGTAGATACACAAAAGAAGGAATATAGTAAAGTACAAAAAAGGAAGCCAATGTTAATATTTTAGGTAGCTAAGTATGTTTGAGGAAGGAGTTCACTAAAGAATACAAAATAAGAGAGAAATAAAAGAGCCTGAATTTATGTTGTTAATAACAGAGCAAGTCATAAGTTTCACGCTTAACATTGTCTCTGTCGCTTAGAACACGGGCCAAGTATGGTATCGTTGAGTTCCTGTACTTGGTTGTACGAGCATAGATTATTTTATACTGATTTCTGGTTTTACTTGATGAGATACAAGGCGAGAGTTGGGAATAGAGGGGGTGTTGGGAGTCAGAGAGTATGGTTTTTTTGACCTTTTTTCGCATGTATTCAGATGCCTATCAACTAAAGTAGTGACGAGCTGACTGAGTTTTACACCACTAGTCCTACTGACTACCTTCAACATCCTTCTCAGGATGGCATAGTCCTTTTTCAGTAGACCAGGAAAGATTAACGGGGAGCAGTAAAGAAGAATAGGTAAGATACAAGATTTGACAAATTGTGAAAGTAGAGGTTGGGTGATTCCAGATTGTCTAAGTTTCTTAATGTAGTAGGTAAGACAGAACACTTTCCTAGAAATCGTTAGGATATGAGATGTCCAAGTAAGGTCGGAAGATAGAACTAGACCGAGATATTTAGCATTAGACTTAGTTTCAATTTTAGTCCCCTCAATGCAACAGTTTTCATGAGAACTTACTAGTGTTTGTAGATCTCGTTTATGCCTAAGGGAGAAGTCAATATTCTGGCATTTTGAGGGATTCAGCATGAGACCATTTAGTTTGGACCACTCACTGATGTCTGACAGGAAGCTATTTAATTTGAAACAGTCTGACTGAGACTTAATGGGAAACGATACAGACAGGTCATCTGCATATTTGACGAAGTTGATTTCATCTGAGAGAGGTAAATCATGTAAGAAGAAGGAAAAGAGAAACGGGGAAAGAACAGTACCCTGAGGAACTCCAGCTTCAGTAAGCAAAGGAAAGGAAGATACACCATTATATACCGTGTACTGCATCCTATTAGAGAAGTAAGAGTGCAGCCAGTTGATAGCCCAGGGCTCAGTTTGTGTAAGGCTAAGCTTGTTTAACAATAGGCCTCTAGGTACAGAGTGGAAAAGTGTAGGTTGAAATTCTTGCATTCACCTGTGTGAATATGTGTGTTTGTGCTGCTGTGAATGTGGTTCCCCAATTAAAAACTTTAAGTAAACACTTCTTCGTTTCAAGTACCGATTCGTTATCCTTCAGGCTAACAAGCTAAGAGGATCAACATTTTTAGGAGTATCAGTTGTGATTTAATGAACCTTATATAAATCTCTTGTTATTCCTTTCTCCTGAACCGAATGTGACTGACCCATGTTAGTTTGCTAGAACCTCAAAGAGATACCTTGATAATAGCTTTGATTTTTCAACTTCTTATGTCATGGTTATCAGAGGAAAAACGGAGCAGAATTAGACGTTGGCTTCTTATCAGCATAAACTGTTGTTCTTGCTTTATTTAAAAGCATAAAGGGGAATAAATGTATAAACGGCATTAATTTTATAGAATTGTCTGAGAATATATGAAAGCATATTTTATAGGAGTCCATTAAGTATCTTAAGTTTGTGTATCGTCAAGTGGTCACTTATACTGACTGTTCACTCATTTTAAGTGTTCCTCCCTAATGTGGAAGTTGGTATAGTCATGAATGTCATGTACAAATGTTAGTAAAGTGTAGTTATTCATGATATTTTTTAAAAAATAAACTGTATTGAATGTGAGCTTCAGTGAAGATAACAGATATTTATATCGATTAGTCACTGACGGAGTAATCAGTTTCATGTGTCTAGTTCTCAGTGTTGGCACTGACGAAATTTCAACAGCAGTATGGTCACCAATTTAAGAGACTCTCTATTGCGATGAACGTTTTGGAACGAATCGTCAATATTAGATGGTTGGCGACATTTACCAAAAAGTCCACGACCTAGGTTTTGTGCTTGTTGGCACTCATCAGTCATCAAGAAGAAGCGTCTTCAACCTTGCAGGAACTTATGTCCTCTCTGAGACTTGTCAAATACATTCCTACAGAAGGTGAATCGCAAACCCGAATAGCTCAGTGGTAACGTCTCTGACTGGAGCCCGACTGGGTGACGCAGGTTTGAATCTCAGAAGGGACATAGTTTCCTTCAAGGTGGTTTCAGATACGCCTTTGCTGATTGGTGAGTGCCAACTAGCACGAAACCTAAGTTAGGCAAAACTTCCTGCTAATCGCTTCCAGCCATCTAATACATCTGTATCCACATGCTCTCCACATCACCCTTCTTCATCCAGCCGGTTATCTAATCTTCATTATTGGATGAAGATCAGATGTGGATAAATATCTGGAGTAGCCCGTTGGAAACGCCTTTCCATAGAGGTGTGTTTGAGTGTGTGCAAAGTCCTTGGATCATATAGAAGCATGTAATGACTTGATCATATATTATTCCCTCGACTGTCGGCTGTTGATCTCCAAACTGATTTCAGAGTAATTGAACACCTGTCCAAATTTTCCAATATGATACTGGTTAGCTTTTGACTCCCTATTCCGTGCTTCCTGTAAGTGAAACGATAGTGACTAGATCAGATGAATGATAGAGACAATATTGTCTTCTTTACCCTGGTTGATGTTAATTGAATTTAACTATCACCTGCATACCTTAATCATCTTTGTCTTCTTTATGGCCAACTATTTTTACTGATTAATTATCCGATCAAAAATATATGTGAATATTTTGATTGGACAGTAGTAACTAGTGTGACATGTCCACTCATTTCTTTGGTGTAGACTGAATTCTATCAGTCAGGTTTGCAACGTGGCCACCTTTCTAGGTACCTTGCCATCACATTGACCACATTGCAAACCTGACTGATAGAATTTAGTTTGCACCAAAGAAAGGACTAGACACGTCACACAAGTTACTGACTGGTGTCCAATCAAATTACTCACTACAGACCTACAGGAGAGGTCAATCGCGAGTCCAAATAGCTCAGTGGTAACGCCTCTGATTGTCGCACTGAAGATACACCTTGATGATAAGTGAGTGCCAACTCGTATGAAACCTAGGTTAGGGATGGCTTCTTGCCGATTGCCTCCAACTATCTAATATTTTATATTATTGGTAAAACTGCATACAATAGTTAAATGAGCATTCAAATTTTTCAGCTGGATAGTTGAAACCACATTTTCACTTTAGGGTTGATATTTCTCTTGACTTTTAACTCGTTTGTTCAGAAATTGCCTATAAGATATATATATATTCAACAATATTTGTCCTGATACGCTTTGAGCAGATCCCAATTAATATTCATCTGTTCAACAGATTGACGTTAACTCCTGACTGATAAACACCACGGACTGATATCAATGGGAGAGTGGAGCATAGAGTACTGGACATCCGTTTCGTCTCAGCTTGAGATTTATCAACGGTATGCACCCACCTGGATTGATTCCAAGGATCTTCCGGTTACAAGTCGAACTGGTAGACCATTCAGCCACTGGGACCCAAATCAGTGGCTGATGAATTCCAACTTCTGGTAATTCGCTCTCTATACATATATACAGTGCAACCGCCAGCCAATGTTATAGGTCCACTAGTCACGACTTCTCACGAGAACTTCTTTCAGGCAACGCCGTCCTGTAACCAACCACTAGCGAGCATCAGATTAATTTTCAAGGGTTGGTTTGTAAGGATTTGATTGGTTTTAAGTTTCACTATGGATTAGTACCAATTAAAGGACAGATATCCAGTACTTCAGCGCTGGTTTTCAATAGTTCACTAACTGATATCAATCCATAGTGAAACTTGAAACAAATCAAGCCTCAACAAACTAACTCTTCAAAAAAAAAACAGATTCACCTGATGAATATTACTATTTTGGTGACAAGAACAAAGATTAACTAATCAACCAATCACAGCGGACTTTGCGTGGGCGGATATGATTCGCAGATAAATGGTCTGACCTTCAAAAAAACAGCCACAAAGAGATGATAGATTAACTTCCAGCGAGAAAACAACCAATCAGAAGACGCTGTTTCTCTGCTAACAATAAAACTAATAATAGTGTACATAAAAATACATAAATATCTGTTGATTTTCTCAATATACGATCTGTTGCACGGCCCTTGTCTTGTGTCATTCCACTATTACTACTTTTTTAATCACCACTTATTGCACAGACATTATGTAAGTCATAAAAAATAGTAGTCATTTTAATGAGGATATTTTTTCTTCTTTTACTACATATATCTTTCACAGAGTGCAATTATTTCAAATCTTCTACAAAGTGTTTATATCATTTATCCATATTGGACATTTAATACCAGTTATGCATATACATCAAGTTTAGGCATAATATCAATCAATGATACACAACAAATATGCATGTGTCTTGATATTAACAACAGCAACAACAATAACGGTGATACCGGTGACAGTGTCGATGATGATGATGGCGAAGGAGATAGCGATGAAGAAAGTTGTAAAACACGTAAACAAGATAACAGTTTAAATGATGCCTTAATTCCAAATAAACAATGTTCAAAAACATGGTTATATCATTTCGCTGAATTCAATTCACGTACCGCTTCGAATATATTACGGTATTCAAAATATTGGTCATTGAAAAAAATACTGAATATAACTAATGCTTTAACTGTATCTTATGCCTTTCCAATACCACGTTTTCTACAACAGATACATCGAAGATGGCAACAGCAACGACAACAACAACAAAATCGAATCAATAATGATACTCATCTCCCGTTAATTCTTGACATTGATGAAGATTTCTTCGGTGTACATTTAGTAATGCGTAGTTTACTGAAAACAGGATTAACATCAGAATTTATCTTCTCATTGAATAATCTTATCCCATCAATATTTTGTCCATTATCTCATATCGATGAATTAGATATTGATCAAATCTATCGTTGGCTCCTTGAACAAGTTTATCTCACTACACACTATTCAAATTATCGAAAAAGATTTACCATTGAAAGTTATGCACTGAATGATATTTTAAGTAGTATTAATAAAAATCTACAAATAACTGATATCTTCTGTCATAATTATACATTAGCGCTGAAAAAATTCAATGAATTATTTAAGAACACATCAATCACTTATGAACAGTTTAATGCATTAACACGTGTTGGTGTCTGCTTGACAAACTCTCTGTTAACTCATCAGTATACACCAGAGATCCACCTGTGCATAGGACATAATACACCGAATGCTTCATTAGTTGAAGAATTCATTCCGACATCAGATGATCTCTTACAGTTGGCAGTACAATTTACACAAATCCTATTGTCACTGCCATATCCACCGAATGTGATCAGTGTATCACGTTCATCACGTGACGGCTATACTCCAAGATGGTTGCAGTATAATATTGAAACAATTATATTGAATATATTAAAGCGAGTGTTTGATTTAACCGATGAGAATATTGTCTATACAAAGTATTTAGCTGGTAATAAACGCCAGGGCTGGTATCGTCGATTCACATGGACAAGTGAAGAGGAATGAATGTCTCATTCTGTTTTTTTTTAGAAAGGGGGGCTATAATGTTTACTTTGATTATTATTATTAGAAAGTATTTTTATTCGTTTCTTGTGATTAGAATTGTAAATAAATTGTCTTTTTAACTTAGAGACAGAAATGTTTACATTTTGTGTTTATTTCTTAATTTATTTGAGTTGTTTTTGAAAATAGTCGTTAATGCGACCTAGAAGACTGTGAACTCTATACGAACAAAATGCGCTAACAAAACCTACTCTGACCGTTAATCCCAACATCAACCGTCATCATAATAATAATACGACTGGCACGCAAAAATAAGAGTTAAAACAAATTCTGAACAAGTGAGCTTTCAATGTCTCCTGCATGAGTCAAGATAAATGACAGCGATGTTGAATATGTAGGCAATAAATGACATTGACAAATACTAAATTCAGTGATAAATTAAAAGAGTTAACAACCAATAAGAATTCTGCCTTTACGGAGTGGGAAATTCAAAACAAATGTGTCATGAATGCGCAATACCTGCAAAGTATGGTTGTTTCAGGATTACAGGAAAAGACTTAGTGAAACAGTGGTAGTTAACGGTTTTGAAGGCATGTTTTAAATGTTTACGTGACTTTATCATCAATAGATTTTGGTGGCTACAAACCAGAAAAGTTAAAAGAGTTCTAGAGTAGAGATGTTACAACAGTAACAGTGATCCAAGGGAACGAGTGCACCAATGACTTAACTATTATTTAGTTGAAACATAAACTAGACAAAGTTAAACTATAAGCATCAGTAACTACCATCTGACGAGTGACCTTGAACGCACCAATCATATGAAGGAGTTATTTTTGCGTGTGTAATACATATATTTATTAAAAAATGCATAAAATCTGTATAAGTGTTACATGGGATACCTTTCTCTCACATGTGATAAGAAAATCTCCCAGTTCAGAATGGGAGTTTCAATGGAAAAGTTACACCACATCCTATACATATTATCATTACCTTAGCTGCAATCATTATTATTATTTCCATTTTATATGCTGCATGTTTTTTTTACATTACCCCTATTGCAAATGTGGAAAATTTTCTGTGTTATTAATTTTATTTATAATTTGAGGAAATTAGATACAATATTGTGATTAATGCTGAAAATTCCATTCTATATCACAAGTACTGTTTTTGGAATAAAGTAAACCATTATTATCATCATTATTATTATATTCATCTAAAAGACTATAAATGTCAGCTCTTTGAGATCCATTGATGGCTCTAATCCTAATTTTTAACATTCCCCAAAAGCTTTCGATAGAACTGATGTAGGTCCTTGTAATGGGATCCACAAAATCACTGGAATAATTGACTCTGTGATGAATATATCCAAGGGGTGGAAAGGAGTTATAACCTTTTCACTGATCTGTGTGTGTGTGTTATAGATCCTTGTTTCACAAGTTGAGAAATAACAGGTATTAAAGTACTTGACTTTATATTTGCTATCCTCTCGACGAATTCCTTCAGTAGAAAGCTATCATATAAACCAATCAAACAAACATTATTCGCTCCTTCTCGACCACGTTTTTATTTTTTCTCTAATAAGACAGTTTCATCTACATTTACGACAAACACGTTGTCCTCCCAATAAGGAAGTAAGTCTCTCCATTTTTCAGGATGCGATATCTCTGCAGTGCTGGTTCCACGGAAGTGTTGATACGACACTGTTTTCTGCTGCACCTCTATCAGGCTGTTTTATAACCCAGTAATTACAAATGTACAAAAATGTGGGTTAAGGAAAGATCGAATTTGACAAACTATGTTCCTAGGAAATATTAAAATCATCAGCTTACCTTCCCTGACACTAACTCGTCTCAAACAATTTGCACAAAGATGCACATGTCCATCAAAAGACCGGCTGAAGCTGTTTATGGTCATCACACTTCCATATGAGCAAATCCTTTCTTTCCTAATCAAACCCACATCTAAGCAATCCGGAAAAACTTGATCGTCACCAAACTGCAAATGCAACTGAGTCAGAGCAGGCATTTGACTCACATCAAGCGGAATAGAAGCTTCAACTCACATGAATAAAATTCATTGGACCATTCAAGGCTATTGGTGCGGTCGCACTCCATTGATAGTTAGTAGTGCCTAAAGTTTAACTTGGTCATAAACTTGATATATTATGTGCACCAAGAGATGAGTCACACGAGGTCTCACAGTTTGTAAGAGGGCCGAGATACTGCCTGAACCCCCAAATTGGAGCAAGTGGTTGCCTCAGGAGGCTACCCTTGCGAGCCCTTAACTTAAAGTTCGATCCACAGGAAAACAAAAAACATCAGGTTCTGCTTTGCCATTGTTTGCCGGTGATTAAAACAAATGTGGTGAGAGCTGTCTGCTTGCCAAAATTAGTAGGCAGCAATTTACGTCAACGTTTATGCCCCATATCTTGGTCATCAGAAAACAACAAGAACAAAGACTAACTCAACAACCAATCACAGCAGACTTTGCGTAGGTGGATACGATTAGCTGATATATGTTCTGACCTTCAAAGAAATGGCCACAAAGAGATGGCGAATTAAATTTCAGCGAGAAAACAACCAATCAGAAGACGCTGTTTCTCTGCTAACAGTAACGCTAATAATAATGTACATAAAAATCTATAAATATCTGTTGATTTTCTCAATAAACGATCTGATGCCATTTCGCTGTTGCGTGATATGGGGAATTACACATGTCAAACACTGGTCGAAGCGTCAAATCGATTTTATGCATTTTTGATAGTCCATATAATCTTGGTGTAACCGTGCCAGTGGGCTTTAAAGATTCATATAAACCATCTATGATGCTACTTTGTTGCTCAAGTCTTTTTAGTGACTCAATTAGTTGTTTCTCCACTTTTTCTGTCGGATCGACGGAAGATTTAATTTTCTGAAATTTTCGATGATCACTGAGTATTCCATTCGTCTTATCTATGTATTCAGTTTTATTCATTATTACTACTCCAGAGCCTTCATCAGGTTTCGAAATTATTATATTCTCATTATTTCGCAGCTTATCTAGGGCTTCTTTGTGTTTCTTGGTCAATAAGCTATTTGGTTTCCGTTTACTATTTATATATTTATAACAACAGTCGACTAGACTTGATTTAAGACTTTCAACTGCCTCAGCTGACGAGGGTGTCAAGCCTTCATCAACTACACAAATGGTCCCAGTTCAATCCCCCAGCTGACTCACTCAATTCTAAACTTCGCCTACTCAAATAGTAATCCCAAAAAAGAGTTAGGTTAAGATGTGAGGCTATCAATCCGACTGTGTAAACACAACACAGACACAAGTAAAACTTCAAAACTTAAAGCTTCAAGCTGTAAAATCCATTTGGAATGAAAAAGAAGAAGGAAAAGAAGAAATGAGAACAAAGTGGATTTATTACAGCCTTTTTTAACAGTATTAACAATAACAGTGGTGATAGTAATAATAATAATAATAATAGTAACAATAATAATTCAATAACAAGACATCTCTTTCTGCGCCTCTCTCTTTTTCTCTATGTATATAAACAGGGCATTAAATGCAAAGCAAAAGGAAACAACGTATATATTTGGTTCCCTTCTTATGATTATCAATTCTTGATTTCTAATAACACACAGTTTCATTTGAAAAACAAACAGACAATACAACAATACAAACAAAAGATAATCAAAACAAAAAGACAGAAAAACAAAAGAAAAAATGAAAAGGACGACGTCAACAAGTAAAATGCTGAAATGCTGACTAGAGGATAAAGGAAACAATTGAACAAGATACATAGACACATATACCAGATAAATTGTATTGCTATCATATCATCATTAGACTAGATTGAATGAGTGAATGAACCAAAAACATAGTTGGAAAGGAAATTCAATAATAATAAAAAAAGAAAAGTACACAGCCATTCCAGCCATTTGCATTGAGAAGAGAGGTTAAAAAACAAATGGAACACAAAGGAGAGATGAGAAATATAAAAGATGGTTGAATAGTTGTCGTCGTCGTAGTTATAGTCAATACAACTACTAATGATAAGTAAGATATGATCAGTTTAGTTTATTGGGATTATTTTTGGTAAATTTTAACGGGATACTTTTTTCGCACAATAGTCGTCATGGTTAGTTAGTTAGCTAAATATCACAAATGCATAGTTCAGTAGAGGTGGGAGAAGAAAATTCGTTAACCAATCAATCACATTTCACTATCATCATCGTCATCATGACACTAAATGCATAAATGTCAATGAAAGAGACAGAAAGACAACCTTGAATGGATATCGTATAGACAAGGTGGAATAAATATCAGAGCTGTATGAATATCGAACACACACACAAAAGCTGAAGCGATTTTTATTCATCTCTTCTCCTCTATACTCACATTACCAAATAAATAATGGCCAAAAAAAATAAAATAACACGCGTACACGACTATATAACATAACATAGGATAAGACTTATGGAATGAAATAAATCAAAGATAATAAATAATATATATGACAACAATGCACTTCTTTGAAGAGATAAATATTTTTTTCTCTCCCTCTAAAAAACAACCTCATTTCATTTGATTTTACTTTCATTACTTGTTCGAGTGTTGACAAAAGTCAATACATACATCTGTTTTGTGGTTTTTCAAAAAAAAGAATTTCGCGCCGTATCCATTGACGACACACACACTTTACAAATTTAAACAATGTTGTTTGACATGATTCAATGCTAAGTAGGTTTCTTGACACAAATAGAATCTTTCAAAATCATAATTGTACACAGAAAAAATATATATAAATGCTGTTTAACAACATTTATATGTATATGTATATAGATATAGATATAGTACAGGAAATGAGTATGTATATAAATGTTGTTGGACTGGCGGTTTTTGAGGAAAATGAATTAGAAAACTCGGCACCAGGTTTATTTTCTTCTTATCTAAAGTTGATCAATTCATACTGACACATCTAAGTGTATAAATCACTATGGATTGATGCCTAGAAA